TCGACTTGAAGGAGTTGCACTCGATATTTTGATCGAAAGATTAGTCGGCATAGATTTCACAGCCGGAACAAAGTTAAACAAGAACCCATCATTACCAACATACGATTCATGAATGGGCCTAGGTCTGTCTGGGGGTCGTATTCAAACATCCGACATCTCTCAAACTCCTTATGTATTTGCGACGAAGCATTTCTCAGTCGATCCGAGACTTGCGACCCACTTCCATACTAGTCACATCACCTCCCTACACACGCCCTAATGAGGAAAGTCATGATGGAAACGGGACGTATACAAAGGATGAAGAAAAGGGAAGATACACCGAGGGGATTACACAAATCCCCAATGACGAAAACAACCCAACGGTACTATATGAAGGTGCAAGGCTAGAGCAACGATGAGATCTTGGACGGCATATATATTTCGGGGTCAATGAGGACGCCAAGGGCTCGGGCGCGTGGTGGCCGAGGCTGAGGAGGAAATTGCGCTACGGCGTGTATACAGCGGGTTTCTGGACGGTAAGACTTGGTATGATTCAACACATAGGTGAAGTCTGGGATGATCCGGTCACTTAGATGGGACGAGGCATGTCTGTACTTCACGGTAGCTAACCTGATCGGTCCGGCCCCACCCGTGATTTAGCTCTTGTAGGATTGCAACGGTAGTCATGTAACCTAGCACGTTAATGAACAAAAACAAAAAAAAAGCCTCATGAATAATAACTTTATTTAAAGAGCGACGAACTAATTGTGATCTCAGCTGAACTAGAAACTGAATATCAGGACTTGGGTAATGGAAATTGGCATGAATTATGTCAACTGCTTGGTAACGGGATACTTTCTATTTTGATTGTCATCATTAACATAGCGTCAAAGTCAGATAGGCTGCATACAGGTGAATATAAAAAATAGAGTATCGCTTACAAGGGTCATAATTTTTTTTTAATTCATAGTGTATTCAGCTGTGTAGCTATAGCACAGTTCTATCATACAAAATACATCTAAAAAGTTCCTTGTTTTTTCCTGAAGTGATTATAGTCTTGCTTCATTCCATCTTCTGCATGCCCCAAGGCTTTTTTTTTGCATCAGATTTTAATTGCGTATACAGCAAACTAGCCATGACACAATATCAAAGAAAAGTACAGAATAGATGATTCAACATAAGGGAAGAGCACTTATGCCTCGGATTTCATTTGCAAGTACCACTGCGAAGTTATGCCGGCTTTTTTTCACCCCAAGTCAACTGTAAGGATTCTGGAGAAATGCCCCAGGCAGGATTTATGGGTTTTTTGTTTAGCTCCACTAGGCTTTTTTTTTTAAATCATTTGATGTGTATTCAGCTATCTAGCTGTGACACATGACCGATGCTATGCATACATGTTGGATGAATCTTTAGACGTTAGAGACACTCATACTCTGGATTTCATTCGCAAATACCACTATGAGGTATGCTTGCTTACACAAACAGTCAACCCTCCTCCGTTAGTACCCACCAAAGGGAATTTCAAAACCTTTGGTTATCCAAGCATGCCTTCGTCATTCATGCATACCAGCGCCGCGAGAAATGTGGTTGTGTTTAGCCGGATTTGAAGCAGCGATCTAATGTCTCGAGTGGGATATGTGTCCAAGCTATCCACACTTTACTAAGCAGACCGACCAAGACGATGAACCACCGCACCATCCAACCATGGCCCTGTTTAAAGTGTCGCCCGCACTCTCGCAAGCGAAGTCTTGGCACGCACAAAGCTCGATTTGTAAATACTCTTTGCCAAATTTCAAAATTCCGCGCTCGTCGAGACTGTATCCATTCTTCGCATCATCTTGTCAACCTGTCCTGATCCTCTCACGTCCATTCCAAAGAACTGTCTCCCAGATTTGTGCATCACGCTTTGCTTCCTCCGTCGGGTGTAAATATCGGCGTGGGCATGTATTTGGTGACCGGCTGAGGCCAGAGAAAGTCGACGAGAGGTGTGATCATTGGAATAAGGATGTACCAGGTCGTACTTGTAGACTTGACGAGACTTAGGTAGTATTCGATCTTTTTGGGAGCGAAAATTTGACGTGGTGGAGTTATTTGAATCATTGCCTCGTGGGCCAACTTGTTCGGTATTGCGAAATTTAACTGAACTTGGCTCTGGGAGGATATTTCACTCCCAGGTCCGTAAAGGACACCGCGTACTGGTGTTCAGTCTTGCCCTCCACCACTAGGCTTATTGCCTAGCGAGGATAGCTATGTAGTTTTCACTTCGAATACCTAGATCTTCACGCTTTGTTTGCTGTCTTTAGGAATAGTTACATAATCCTAATTACATCTCACTCTCGTCCTCTGCCACCCATAGTGACCTACCGTCACCTCCGGCCACTGTATCCAGAACGACTCCCCGCGTTCTTCTTTATTACCTTTCTAGAAAGCACTCCGCGTTCCCACGAGGCGTCCATCCTCAGGACATCGCACGCTACGTCATCCCTTACGCCTAAAGTCTTGCGCCTAGTGAACCTGCGCCGGACATCAACCCTCATCCGTGAATGCCCACACAGGGGAACGTCTCAATAACCCTGAGTTATCCAGACTTGCCTCCGTCATCCATAAGCTTTTCTCCACGCGAAATATTGTCTTGGTTGTCTCCTTCCCAAGTGGAGTAGGTGCCCAGGCTACTCAAACTATACCAGAGAACACCACCAGGAGGCGGACCACAACACCTTCCATCGTCGGCTTGTTTTTGTAATGCCAGCTGCTCTCTGGCTAGGTAGGGTTGGATGTTTGCAGTAGGAAACATTATATTGGCAGATGCTGGGGAGGGACAAGGTTTGTAAACAATCTCTTTTTGTTTTTTTGAATTTGATTTCATTTAGCCCGATTTGGCGCCTTAAGGCCCTTGCAGGTGTTTACGAACTCTTGTATTTACATGGGTGGAACCCATTGTGGTAAAAACCCCCTCAACTTTTCAATTTATATATTTTGGCGCCCAAAAAGCCCTCGAAGGAGCGATAGGAAAAGCGGGCAGCTCTCCGATAAAAGTGCTCCTCGATAACTCCATAGCCGCAAGAGCTCTTCAAACCGGTCGAACGAAATCTTCTCAGGCGGTGGTAGACACATTCACAAGACTGGTACCACGAGCCAGATCAGTTGAAATCAGGTGGATACCAGCCCACTCAGGGATCACTGGGAACGAGGAGGCAGACAGACTGGCGAAGGAAGCCCTCAGGAAACTCCCGGCTGAAACGATTACAGCTCCCTCAACAATTAAGGACGGACTTAAATACACCTTCGCAGCCCTCAACCGGTTTGTCAGGCAAAGGTGTGAAGAAGCGGTGGAATCCTGGTGGCTAAAACATAGACCTAGCGGCTATGAGGAGTTGGATCTCCGAATGAAACGAAAACGTCCACCAGAGCTAGCACTTCCGAGGTGGGCGCATCACCACTTGGTCGCAGCGAGGACGGGACATGGTGATTTTAGGAACTACCATGAAAGGTTTGGCCACGAATGGGAAAACTGCAAATGCGTTTGCGGAAGAGAGAAACGTCCCTGGCATTTTGCCGAATGTCGGATTGCTCTACGGCACTGGAGAGAAGAGAAGCATGAACCACCACCGAGTGGACGGGAGATGCTGGCAGAAAAGGGAGGTGGTAAATTTCTCCAGTTCTTAACAGTAACTAAGTGTTACGAGATGCAGAGCGCAAACCGGGAGGATTAAGTCCTGCCAGAGGAAATTTTCCACAGGACTAAGGGCCACGAGGAAGGAGAAAAGGCGCAGGGCGTTTTTTTTCGAATTGTAATTAATTATCTATGTTTTCTACAAATAGTTTCTGAGAAGCAAACTATGTACCTAGGTTGTAGTGTGGCCCCAGGGAGCACAGACCCGTATCACGCCTATTGGGTGTAGGGCATAAGCCTGATACGGAATGAATTCAATTCAATTTTCAATTTATATACACTTTAAAGTTATGTTGCCATCACGAAGTGCACTAACACTGTTATGTTAAGTGCGGATACCGTCCACTTCCTTACTTATGGCAGGAGATTATCTTTCCCCTACTGCCTTTCACAGTATCTCGCCTCTCCCTATAACCCAGTCGGGACAGGCCATGATCATGTGCTTGACGTTCTGGGACGGATATCCACACAGGCATCGTGGGCTGTCTACTCCGGGAACATGTCTTCTGTGCAGGTAAGAGTTTAACCCAATGTGCACACTTCTTAACTGCATGGCTATGCTGCCCTGGGCCCTGATCAGGTGTTTATGGATACTGATAGGTGTTCCTCTAGATGCCATTTTCGCTCTTCTCGTCTTTCCATCTGTAAAAAGATTTACTGCGTTCCAGCTCTCCCCAGTATTATTAGCGAATGAGATCTGGAGATGAAGGTTTCTCGAGTCAAAAGTCATTTGATAAGGCAAGACACTGGTATGTATTATCCAGTTCATGAAGTAGCTACGTTTCCATGACTGCGTGCATTAAAGTACGATATATTTGTGCGGAATTTTTCATGCCACGTTTACCTTTGCTACTATGTATCATGGGGGAGGCCGCGACTGGTCACTTTTCCCGAGCGTAAATATTTCTGATAGCATCGGCGACAGAGCCATTTAAGAATCTCCCCCGTCTTGGAGCTTATTTAGAGTGAGGGTGAGTTGATATGTTCTGGCTCGAGACACGGAATATGTCCCTGCATGCAGCTCTGTTGAGTTGCGGAGCGAAGTGGGCGGCACCATTTGTATCGATCCTCCCGGAGCCAGCTGGACAATTCAAGCCACCACTGGCCTCTGAAGGAAATCGGCGGCGCCTGCGACAGGTGTTATTACTATACCGCCAGTGCGTGGTCCTGAAGGATGGGCGAGTTTACCAGCTGCAAAAGTGGCGTGTGGCGTCGTGGGCGGTTCGCTTGATGCGTGACCACAGCTGGAATTGCACTTTTGCGACGCTTTCAGTCAACAGTCCTCGTACATCATACCTTTGTCTACGGCGGCCTTCTACCTACACCCGCTGCTCCGCCTCAGCTCGAGATGTCAAAAACAGTGGCGATAAACTCACTCCAACAATTTAATGAATATCTCCAGACCTCACACATAGTTGTGACCGACTGTAAGGTCCTCTCTCCACCCACAGCCTAATCTGAGATGTAGCTAAAAACTTTGTGAAGTCTATGCAGATTGGTGTGGTCCCTGCCGTCTAGTGGCGCCGCTATACGAGCAGCTCTCAGCCCACCTCTCGACGCCCAAGCAGATAACCTTCCTCAAAGTCAATGTCGACAATCACAAGGAAATAGCGTCCAAGTACGCTGTAACGGCGTATGTGTAGCTCTTTCTCCTCTGTGGCACGTCTTGAGCCTCAACTAATGCGCCGCGCCAGGATGCCGACCTTCCTCGTTTTCCAGCGTGGCGAAGTCATTGAACGCGTCCAGGGTGCCGACATGCGTAAAGTGCAGGCTATTGTACAGAAACTCTTGCCAGGCACTAAAGACGCTCTGGCTGATGCGACAACGGGGGAAAATGCCACAAGTCATTCCTCCTGGAGATTGAGCGAGAATCCTCCCGGCTACCATGATGTAACCGATCAGGTCGATTTAGATGGCCTAGATCTGTCCAATGCTGATCTCATGTTCGGTCGTGCTCGGGTCCTATTTGATGATAGTAAACCCACTGCTCTCCAAAATGGCAAACAACACGAGACAACGACTAAGGATTGGGTTGAGAGCGACTCAGATGAGCAGCTGATGTTGTTTATTCCCTTCCAGTCTCGCATCAAGATTCATTCCCTTTTAGTAATCTGCCCTTTCTACCATTATTTTCTAGTCCTACTAACGACAGATAGATAACTTCACTACCAGCTAGCTCTAGTACAAGTACATCTGAATTAGCCATGCGTCCTAGAACTATTAAAATCTACACTAACCACGCGTACACACTTGGGTTTGAAGAAGCAGAAGAGATTACTCCCATTCAAGCAATCACACTGGGTGACTCGGATTGGGATGAAAGCGGAACTGCCACTATAACTTTACGCTACGTTAAATTCCAGAACGTGTCAAGCATCGTACTTTTCATAGTCGATGGAGACGGTGACTGGGAAAGGACTAGAATAGATAGACTCAAGTTGGTTGGCGAGAAAGGGGAAAAGAGAGACCTTGGGAGGCTGGAGAAAATTAGCCACGATGACTAATATTTTACGAATAGTTACTGTTCCTTTTTACCGGAAATAAAATTTGTACGTTCAAACAGCGATTTGTTAGATTCTTGACCATGGGATCTAACATTTTATGGTCACCAAGAGTTGTATCATTTAAACTATTTTTGATCTAAATTTTGTATGTTCGACTAACTCGTGCACCGAACCCCAAGCCTCATCAGCCCGTGAAGACAAATAATGAAGATGGATTCGATTCGATGCGTGAGAGATAGTAGTTTTTGCAATTGGGTTTACTCTGTGAAAAGATTGACGCTCAGATTTTGACAGGCACTAGTGAAGTCTCTTCCCTTTCAAGAAAAGATTGGTGCTTGAGCAACACGGTGTAAAATCTTTTCGCCGCACGAAGTTTGAAAGGGGGGCGAGGTTGCGTGGTTATTTATACTCGAATCTACGTGAGGCCCGAGCGCTAAACACACGAGCACATGACCAACATTTAGACCTGGCGTTTCAAGGGGTCGAAAGTCAACCGGTCAAGGATCAGTAAAAGCATTTCCTTTAACCCGCACAAGTTTTGCAATTAATGCATCAAGACTGTAACCCAGCCAACAATGTCCACCTTTATTGTGCCACAATTCAGGCCATTCAGCTACAATCCTTTGAGATTAGCTCCGAAGCTGTAGGTAACAATTGAATTATTTCTCTGGCTGATCCCTCTAGGCTCTGCATTCTAGGTAACAATAGCGTACATAAAAGTACATCTGAAGCTTTAAATTTACGTGCTGTACTATAGCTACAATTGAGAAACTACACCCCCAAGCCTTTGACCAATCTTAAGACTTAGGCTTTGCACACTAGAACCGAATGAGGAGACGGTGGGGAGCTAAGGGAGTAAGATAGTAGGTTTACAAAGACGAAGTTTTCTGAATGTTAACAAAAGTTCTGGCTAATTCAGGAAGCAATCGGCCATTAATTTGGTACAACTGTTAGTCACTTTTCTTGTCTCTAGACAGATGTAGGTTTTCGACATGTAGCCATCATTGACCTGAATGTGCGGGTTAGAACGACAATTCGGTGTTTGGGCTATGTGCACTTCGGACTGGCTGTTGCAGCTCCTTCCTATCACGACTCTGGTTGGGGTTGGACGAAGAGTGAACTCATGTCTGTAGAGCTGACTTTTAGTAGCACTTTCCAATTCTGAGGGACGCGGAGATAACTCGACTTACAGATACGCTTCCAATGAAATGCAGGCCAATAATGATGCTAGGAAAGTGAAGATATGGCGACAACAGACGCTATAGCGGTAGTCAGAGAAGCCCTCATCATATCCTAGCACACGCCTCCCACCGACGCGCAAACTGAAGACTGCGAGCGCAAAGTAAATGTGCCTTTGCTCTCAAGAAGGTTTTATCAAATGGGTGGTCTTCTGTCGCTGTATGACTGGATAGAATAGCCCATCGAACATCTAAACTACACTAATGCCGGCAAAGACGAAGATTTCACCTTGCAGCGGTGCCGGTGCCATCGCTCAGTATGCTCTGCATATCTGGACTAGCCAAGAAGAATCTGGTAGAAATTGTCAAGGGTTACTAAGAGGAAATATCTCGAAGAACAAGCGTACGATTTCGGAAAAGAACTTATTGATAGTTGTATAGGATATCGACCTCTCTTCTCAATATGAATTAATAATATATGTTAGAATTTAGAATAATTGAGGCTATCAAGTAGGCCATATTGTTGGTACACACGTGACTAAAAATTCTTAACTTAGTTTCATTTCTGTAGTTACTTGAATCAGTGCGCCCTACAACCTCGATGACTGAGGGTTAATTATTTCCTTAATAATATATAATATTCCGTTAACTTAGTTTTAACACTTTCAAATAAGTTTATCCTTAAATACAGATCCCCGAGGCTTTAGTCAAGCCAAACTCCAAGTAACCTAGCAACAATCAGCCTCTCAATTATCGCAAGGTAGCATTTCCTAGCCACTGAATCCCAGATACCTCTGAACCTCATGTCGCCCAGCTAAGCTTAACCATATGAAATCGAATCAATTCAATTGACCTTGATGATCATACCTAGAAATATAAACCTTCATACATACTAAGTCTAGATTTCCAACAGAATCGTATCCGAGGCGAAGTGGAAAGCAATTTTAAGTAAATTTTGAAAAAAACATCACTTCGTCACAACGTCAAACCGATCTTTCTCACGCGAGTCCGTGAGCTTACTCGTGTCACGATTCAGCTCGCCTCAACGACTGAATAAGTAGTCGCACCAATTGGAGATGGGAATTTTCCTCATCAAGGATCGGTCATCTCCCACCACAAAGTTACCATGTTATGTGCACGCGCGAGGAGGGAACTAAGGCGTTATATACAAAGCTCGGATCTTGGTCTATGGGAGACTGTTGCTCTTATGAGTCTTCACCTGTTGAGGGAGGGCAGTTTCACGGAATGATCACGGTTTAGAATCATGGAATATTATGAGCATACAAATCTTGCAGGCTTGAGGAGGGAAATGAAGGTAAAAGTGGACTACGAACATGTATATGATGAAGCGTAGGCTACATTGAGTTGCCTTCTTCACGCAACTCTTCTCAGTGTTATTCTCACCCTAGATATTCTATTTCTTCCCTCTCAAGGCCTTGACTTCCAACATATTCACACTTGTACCTCGTAGACAAATACTAAATACACTCCTCGAGGGACAGGCAGTTGGGACGTAGAACGAGAGTGGGAAACGGCCAATCATGGGCATGCCGGGTCTCAAAGTTCCGAGAGTTTTCAAATCTGGGGTAATTGTGAGCGCCGAGGCTATGGGTTTGGATAGTGCTGGCGACTCTTGAAAAATAAAAGCGTCCACCTTTGCCTTGGTGGATGGAGGTGCGAGAAAATGGCCGTGGTCAGCACAGCAACGGCTGGCGCAAGAAAAGGTGATGCCGTACGACCTGATCTCTTGGTGTGGAGGTTTTGAGGTAGATGGGAACATGGTTGTCACTTTTGCAAATGCCGGAGAGGATGGGTGGGAAGAGTAGTGTATCCTACCCATTCCAGGGCTGTTCCACCAGCTAGTGCGCGCAGTGCAAATACGCCTTGCTGCACTGGCCACGTAAGCTGCGTACAATGTCCTGACTAAGCAATTCTGATTCCACTGTTCGGGAGCGACAGCAGTTATGCGCCCAGTTCGTGCCTGTGGTTGCGCACATATCACGACACTGCTCTCAATCACTACTATCGTGAAGCTAACCACGATCAGATCAGATGTTAGGGTCGAAGCCCTACTCATCACCCGCCCTTGATCATGAAGCAAGAGGCATCCGATGAGTTTCCGGAGCGTACCCAGTTCATAATCTCTCCAAAACATCTGGCACAGCCAATATTCCCCAGGAGAACACATACAACACTACTGCCGAAGTCAACTCACAGACCCGGGTAAAGATCATTGAAGCCTGGAAACATCGTTCGTAGTCTCAACCCCCGCTTGAAGACCGAGGTAAGGGCAGAGTGCTAGACAAATACGACAGGCTCTTTTACCAGCAGAGGTGCCAGCATTCATCACCAAATTTGAATTGCTCACCCCATACCAGTGCCTCTCAGTCCGTTTACATACTAACACGCCCTGGCACTAGAGACGTAAAAACCAATCTCGAATAGATTGGTGCGCACGTAAGGGGTTGGCCTCTGATAGTACCTGCTAATGAAAGCTGAGTGTAATTGTTCTAAACGTCAATATGAGCCATTCTACAGAAAATGTATATATCCCGATGATACCTACATGGGCCCTCGAGGTGCTAACTTGGGAAAATTGAAAAATCTTTTTATCGGAGTCACGTACCAGCCTGGAGGTCTGAATCTGAGAACACCAGGGTGTCCAAGTTCCGTAGATTCTAAGTAAACTGCTGGCAAAGCTGATATATCACAGCATTCTTCGTACTGACGCTTGTAATCTCTTAAACCAAGTTGTGTATTGTAATTTTTTGATTTGATTTCATTAAGCCGGTTCAGATATCCTATGGGAACATCCAGGTATATCTAGCTGTAATATTTACACAGGAGGAAACCAAATTCGGTAAAACTCCCCTGAAACTGGTTGTCTCGTATCTATTGGATTTCTGAGGTTTCCAACAGGAAGAGCGTTTACACTGCTTATACAGTGTGAATTCCGTCTCATCTTTTCGTCCAATGCTATTTCTACTTCTCCTGCAAGCCGGAATTGTTCACACCAGCCTTTTGCCAGTATCCATTTTGTGATTCTGTCTATATCATCTGGGCTGTTCATAAATGCCGCAAATGACCTATCTTTTGCCGTTTGAAGCACCTCTCCTCTTCTCATTGCCCACTGAGAACACGTCAAGACAATATTTTTGAAAATTATAGACAGATGTCCACACTAGCATTCTGGATTAATCACTCCGGGAACTTTCCTTTGGTACAGACAAGAATTGAGACCAGTGTGCTCACTTCTTGTATGACCTGCAATACTGCTTTGGGCACTGAGGTTCCCGTAGATGTTTGAAGGTGTGTTTCTATTTGTAATCCTTTTTCTGCCGGCTTGCACATCGGTAACAATATTTGCGGCTTTTTTGAAAGTTAAATGATATTATCTTAAAATACATATAGATTTGAATCAGAATCACACTATGTTCTAAGAGTATTTATCGGGGTCCCCAGTTGGTATCGTAAATAAAATGAAAGCATAATTCATGTTTTTAATTCGTCTGCTCCATCCTAATACTTTGTCTATTCTCAATTCGCCATTATCACCGCTACACATATTACTGCATGCTACAGACTACTGACTGTAGCTCCTCGGAAGGGATTGAGTCCTATGCGGCCTCTAGCAATATTCTTTTCGTGACAGAGCACATTAGCCTGACCTATTCATTTCAGGGCTATTCACCTAAATAGAATTTCCTAACAAGCTCCAAAATGACTCGATCGAGTTCCGGCCCGGAGCAAGGTGGCCATCTGATAGGCGTTATTCCAACTTGATGTAGCACTTCATTCTTTGAATATGTTTTGTGACATGGT